TAACTTACATGGGTATTAAAAACTCCATCACTCACAGAAGGAAGTATTTTCTCATAGGGTGTAAATGTCACATGACTACTACATCTAAGCACTCAGTGCCTGTTGAATTTCAGGTGCATACTAGGTATTCTTTTCCCTGACCTCCTCTGAAAGCCTTCATACCTCTTGATATTGCTTTGGAAGGAGTCTTATTTGCACAGTAAATACTTTCTGATTCATCTAAAACAGCAACCTGAATGCTATGCCTTTTGTCTGGTGACTGATTATCAGGATTACGCTGACTCTGTTCATGTGACTAAGAGGCAGACTCCTTTAAGTGACCACTCAAGGTGTCTCACTGCTTCACACTCATCCGAGCCCTTGTAGAAGGCCTAACTGGAAAACAACCGTATGGCAGTAAGTTTATATATTATGTGTTGTGTTTGTTCTGACTGCTCCACCGACCAGCCATTCCCTGTCTCTCTCCTCTCCCTGAAACAGAGCAGTATGGAAATGAGGCCAATCAATAACCTTACAATGGTCTCTAAGTGCTCACATGCAAGGAAGTCACCCATCTCACTTTTAAATCAAAAGCTAGAAATGATTAAGCTTAGTGAGGAAGGCATGTCAAAAGCCAAGATAGGCGACAAGCTAGGGCTCCTTCACCAAACAGCCAAGTTGTGAATGCAGAGGAAAAGTTCTTGAAGGAAATCAAAAGTACTACTCTAGCAAACACGCATGATAAGAAGGTGAAACCACCTTCTTGCTGGTATGTAGGAAAACTTTAGTGGTCCAAATAGAAGATCAAACCAGCCACAACCAAATTAAGCCGAAGCCTACTCCAAAGCAAAGTCCCAACTCTTCAATTCCAGAAGGTTGAGAAAAGTGAGGAAGCTGAAGAAAGGTTTGAAGCCAGCAGAGGTTGGGTCATGAGATTTAAGAAGCCGTCTCTGTAACACAACGGTGCAGGTGAAGCAGCAAGTGCTGATGGAGAAGCTGCAGCACATTATCCAGATCTTGCGAAGATGATTAATGAAGGTGGTGACACTGGACAACAGGTTATCAATGTAGATGAGTCTTCTATTAAAACAGATGCCATCTAGGACTTTCATAGCTAGAGAGAAGTCAATGTCTGGCTTCAGAGCTTCAAAGGACAGGCCGACTCTCTTGTTAGGGGCTAATGTAGCTGTGGCTTTAAGTTGAGGCCAGTGCTCATTTACTATTCCAAAAATCCTAGAGCATTTAAGGACTATGCTACATCTGTTCTGCCCATGCTCTATGAATGGACCAGCCCACCTGTTTACAACATGGTTTACTAAATATTTTAAGTTCACTGTTGAGACCTATTGCTCAGTATAAAAGATTCCATTCAAAATATTACTGCTCATTGATAATGCACCTGGCCACCCAAGAGCTCTGATGGAGATGAATAATGAGATTAATGTTGTGTTCATTCCTGCTAACACAACATCCATTCTGCAGCCCATGGGTCAAGGAGTAATTTGACTTTCAAGTTGTCTTTCATAAAGCTGTAGCTGCCATAGATAGTGATTCCTCTGATGGATCTGCGACAAGTAAATTGAAAACCTGGAAAGCGTTCCCCACCCCAGATGCCATTAAGAACATTAGAAACTCATGAAAAGAGGTAAAGATAGATATTAACAGGAGTTTCAAAGAAGTTGATTCCAACCCCTACTGAGGACTTTGACGGGTTTAAGACATTAGTGGAGGAAGTAACTGCAGAGGTGGTGGGAATAGCAGAACTAGAATTAAAGTAGAACCTGAAGATGTGACCGAACTACTATAGTTTCATGATAAAACTTATAACAGATGAGGAGCTGCTGCTTGCGGATAAGCAAAGACAGCGGTTTCTTGAGATGGAAGCTACTCGCGGTGAAGACTTGAAAAGACAACAGGAGGCTTAGGATGTGACAAACTTAGTTGACAAAGCTGTGTCAGCATTTGACAGGACTGACTTGAGTTTTTAAAAAGGTTCTACTGTAGGTCAAAATGCTATCAGACGGCATCACATGCTACAAAGAAAACTGATCGTGTAGGGAAGTCAGTGGATGCGGCAAACATCACCACTGTTTCTTGAAGAAACTGTCAGCAACCTGCAGCAGCCACCGCCCTGATCCGTCAGCAGCCATTGCCATCCACGCACCACCCTACACCAGCAAAAGATTATGACTCACTGCAAGCTCAGATGGTGCTAGCATATTTTAGCAATAAACTATTTGTAAATTAAGGCATGTACATTATGGTTTTTTAGACATAATGCTATCGCATACTTAACAGACTACAGTATAATTTAAACATAACTTTTATATGCACTGGGAAATCAAAAAAATTTGTGTGACTTGCTTTATTGTGATGTTCTGGAACCAAAGTGTCGTATCTGTGAGCTATGCCTGTCTATGAACGTTTTCCTACTTACATACACTGAAACTAATTCACGGAGGGGACAGAGTGATTTTATATGGGGAACATGTGCACCTTTTGAGTGATATCCTGTTAGCCTGTGGGCACAAAAATCAAAGACTAAATTAGGGCAAGAATACAAATTCCCTAAACTGGGAAACACACACACACAAAACACAGAACAAAATAAACCAAAAAAAACCCAAAAAACAATGAAAATCACAGCCAAACAAAACTCCTAAAAGAATAAGAAATAAGATCACTATTAAAGAAAATTTTGCAAGTAAGTGCACTGGTATCCAGGTAAGAATTTTAAAAGGGCATTATTTGTAATGTTAAAATAAAATTAAATTTAGTATTGTAAAATTATCTCAATAAAAAGTTATGTAATTATGAAATTATACTTTCCTAGCTGTATAAAACACATTAAAAATTAAGAATATTATTTTCTTGGGAAAAAAATAATTTATTATATATAAAGCTGATTAAAATACACATAATATATCTCCAGTAAACTAATTTAAGTGCATATATATATATATATATATATATATATATATACACACACTT